GTCAACCAAAAAGGTTCATATTCCAGCTCAGCCACCGAATAAGTAACTTTAGGCAACTTACTCTAAGCCTGTTTCGTCCTCCCATGCTGTCTCTTAAGGCTGTAAGAAGTTAATGGGGAATCAGACATGTAAAATACCACAGTGTTTGGCACATGAGTACTCAAAAAATATAAACTTTATTGTAACAATATTACTACTTGACAAAAATGTACTGCTGGGTACATAATGCTTAGCAGTCTATCCATTTAACAACTGCTATTTGAAACATTGATAAAACCATTGTGTAACTTAAAATGGATACAGTTCAAGTTTGTTACTATGCTCTGTGAACTACTCAAAGTAGCAGTCTTAATTATTGCAGACATTAAGGTCACTGCCTCTGCTCTTCCTACAGCTCCCCTCTGTGTCTTCCATCACATCACTAACAGAAGGGCAAAACTGTCCTTTGTTACTCAAACACTTCCCGGCCTCTACTGCCATCACATTTACTTAAGAGAGTGACCTGTGAGTTGTAGGGCAGTAACTACTATGCTTTATCTTGGACTAAAGCACAGTTTTTAAGGCATTTTACTTACTAGGTGTAAATCTGAATTCATTCAACTGTAAAAAGTATTGTTACCTTTTGCTGATTCCCTGTTCATAACAAAAGTTAGCACTGAACAAGAGAAAGGACAAGAAACTGACAAGGTCCTGAGACAGTATATTTTATATACAGCGTGTAAAATTTGAATTTTTATTCTCCCCCATGAAAACAGACATAAGGTTACTAAATTCTAGCAACTACAGGCTTAAAAAGTAAACCAGAGAAAGAATAATCTCAAATTGTTGACAGTTTACCTCTTTCAGATGAACTTAAATGGAGAATGAGTATTTCATGCCATCCAAATTATATTAGTTACCAATTCATGATCTGAGGTTAAAAAAAACAAACTCAGTGTTTGAGTGTATGCTACATAGACACACTTCAAGCAAACAGCCACAGATTTTAATGCTACTAAGTACACTTTCTTTCATGCCTTCGGCTACTTAAATGACAAAACCAATGCAAAGACTAACCTTTCAGAGATTTATAGCATGGGAAACTTATAGGGAATTACCTTTTAAAAAAGTATTATGATGTAAAGGAAAGGATAAATGCTAAACAGATCTTCACCCAACAGGGTAGGCGCAAAGTCACCAATTTGCTTGGTTATTACAGAACCATTAACATGTTGCCTCAATCGATTTAGTCAGAATGTTTAAATGACACCCCAAAGGACTTTAAATCACAGAAATGTAGGCCTAGAAATACTCATTAATTTACATTCCAACTTTTACTTCACCGATGAAGACACTGAGGCTCAGAGAACTTAAGTGACCCACTGAAGGTCAAAAGCTATCTGACTCTTTAGGAGAGCCTGAAATGATTGAGATACTGCTGTATGTGGCTCATCGGCATTCAAGAATATCCAATTAATTCCAGGAAAAGCTAATTTTAGTTCACTATGGGCCTGGAACCCAGAAATAAACATACCTGTAGCCTAACAAACTTCACATGAAGACACAGCTATAAGATCAAGCCAGCTCTAATTCAGAGCCCAAAATTCACCCAACACTACATACATAAGAGGCCAGAAGCTATTTTAAGAAATACCTCTGCGATAAATAATAAATGAAAATAGCCAGATTGATACTTGAAGCCAGTGGTCCTCAACCTCTGGTGCACATCAGAATCAGTCTTCTTCCAAAATACATACACAAGGTGTCCGAATATGTAGGTCTACCTACTATAGTGCCAAATATCTGTACATCGAGGTTCTCATGAGCACTATGGTGTCAGATCTCTTGTTTCCAGCAAGTTCATTATTCTGCAAACATTACATACAGAGGTATATATTAGATTGGCCCTAGTAAGACTGTTAAGTTTCATCTCACAAGTGAAACCAGGCATGCACAGAAGGCATCATATTACACCACAACAGTAGCAGTATCAGTTTTTACTCTTAATCCAGTGAGGAAGAGGACAACTGAGTCACAGGACTTGAAGCACTCGAATTTTACGAAACAAAAAGGCCGGTAGCCACCTGCTTTCTAACCAGGAATTCAGGAACATCCCAAGTGTTTATGACACCAGGAAATGTATGAAGCAGAGAAAGTTTACATCATCTGCCCTTCTAGGCACGTGATGTAAGAGTGTTTTGGATAAGATATTAACTTTAGTAAGAGGATATTTTCCGTTTACATCTTCTAGAAATACCCCTTAAGTTTACACCAGGTGGTTAGAGGAAGATTCTGCAGCTCCCCAGGGCAATAGCAAAGAATGTTTCAGTGTTTCTGAGGAGCCTCATTTGCCTGATGCATGACTGTTAAAGGTACATTTCCCTACACGACCCTAAATCAGCTTTCACATTTGCATATTCCAGGTTTACTCAGGAATGCTCAACTTAAGAATCACAGGTGGTTGCTCGGTAAATCAAAGGCTCCCCAAAGATTAGGTTTTATAATGCTTCCCAAAATTTACAGCTCCATTTTGCCAGGCTGTTTGAATTCAGACGACTCCAAGTTGATCCCAAAATTATAAATCAAAGTATCTCAGAAGAGTATTATTCTATTTTAGCACTTTTATAGCTTACTCTATGCAACGTGAAGTGTTATTTCTATGCTTTCTATTTAAAAAAAAAAAAAAGAAAGAAAAGCCAGCAAGGATTTTAGCAGGACTTCTTTCTGCAGTAAACTCATCAGTTTTATTAAAATATCAAGTACTTTTTAGCCTAATTTAGACTAACAAATTTACATGCACAACACTGCCATCCCAAACAAAAGCTAAGGCGGATAAGCCAAGTGCATCCCCTCCTTTTAACATTAAACAGAACACACGTGCATAAACCGTGGCTAAATGATAAATTTTAATCACGTACAGGTCAGCTTTGATCCAATAACAGATAAATTTAAGAGTCATATCTTTGGAGTCAGTCAGATCCCAGCAGTTCCAGTCCTGGCTCAGATACAATTGGGGTGTGATCTTACGCAAAGTACCCTGCTCTCTCCGGGCCTCAGTTTCTTCATTTGAGAAGACTGGAGGTGTTAATAGTGGCTGCCTCTTCTCTTTGTCGTGAGGACCAAAGGAGATAATGACTGCTAAGCACCTCCACAGTGCCTGGCACACAGAGAGCAAGCACTCCATTAACGTTAGCTGTTGTTCTTAGTTAGGAGGACCGCGTCCCCTCCCAAGTCCCCACCACAAATCCAAAACACACAAAGCAAAACTCTTTAACAGGAAACACAAAGAAAGAGCTTTAATTCTACAAGGTCCCTCCGACTACAGGCTCTTCATCCTCCAGTTCCTCAAATGAATGAATGAACGCCTAGGAGTGGCTCTGCAAATAGCTGTCTCTTAGGAATCACCTTTGCCGACTTTAAGATAACTGTCTTTCACCATCAATTAAACACCCACAAGTACACCCAGAGCGAGGCACAACAGTCATGCAAATTTCAGCGGAGACACCGAGTCCGGGCGAGTCCTTGATCCCCACAGGCAACCTCCATTCATTCTCCACGCCCCTCTACCCCGACCCCTCTCTTTAAGTTCTAGGACCAGCCCTACCCTCGCGACCCTTCCCCTCCCGCCAAGGGTCTCTACCGTGCCCTCCGCACCTAGCGTGAACCTGTCACCCCACCAAGTGAGGGGCTGACGAAGGGGCCCACCTCACCCCTGCCCGAGGGACCGAGGCCCGGGGTGCAGCCGTCCCCTCGGGCGCCAAGGAGAGGCGAAGTGCCCGGTCCGGCTCGTCTCTCCTCCCCAGAGACCCGCCAGTCCCGGCCGGGCCCGCCGGAGATAGCGCGTAATAAGAGGGAGGGGAGAGCTCTCCGACCCCCCCCCTTCCCCGGGATCCCTACCAAGCAAGTGAGCCTCTTGCTCCAGCTCCTCCGAGCCTCCCCGACTGGAGGCATGGTGCCGAGGCTGCCCCAGGAAGCCCCCATAAAAAGGAGGGGGAGACACCCCCATACTCACCCACCGTCTCCTCCCCCTCAGCTGTTTACCTCACAGTCCCTCCAACCTACAGGGCGCCGCCATCTTGGACGTACAGCACCTCCCCCGTCGTGAAAGGGCCAAGGCCGTCGGCGGCCTCCGCCACGAAAAAGAGTCCCCCTCCAGCGCTCCCCTCCTTCTCGAAAGGAAGGACAGACGGCCGCGCTCGGCAACCTCGCCGGAAGGAAGAGGCTCTCCCACTCATAACTCACAATGGGGGTTGGACGAGAAAAAAAAAGCAAGGAGGGTTTTAATGGAAGGGGGCGGGGCCAGGCGGAAGGATCCCGAAAGGAGGCTGCGAAGAGATCTTGTGACTCCGCGAAGGAGGCAAAAAGAAGGGCCGGCGCGGCGGGAGGAGCCAAGCGAGAGCCCAAGGGGCGGGGCGGGTGGTCACGTGACTGGCGGGCGGAGGGACACGGCGGAGAGGCGTAAACAAGCTGGAGGAGGCTGGGTGTGGTTCGAGCGCCCTCCCCTTTGCACCCCCCGAGTCGTTTCTGCCCTTCGCTTGCCTGGCGACCCCCGAGGGTCTCTCTGTGGGCGGCCACAGAGCAGCGATCCTGTTTCCCAAGGAGCCGCTGGGGCCCGCGTGGGTGAAGGGCCTACTTGGGAGCCTTGGAGTTGCGGCTCACCTAGGAAGGGGCGGAAAGCTGGGGGCCAGGGCAGCCCTCCTTCCTGGGCTGAACATTTGCAGAAACCCGCCTCCGGGATTGCGGGGGACCGCCCTGGCGTCTGCCTGCAGGTAGCTCACACTTCACACCTAGTCATGACATCTAGGGAAAACCAGCCCTAGTAGGAGGCAACTTGAAAATCAGAAGGCCTTATTGCGTTTCCTGCTGAAACAAGGCTTTAGGTCCTCCAAGCCTCAGTTTCTTCCTCTGTGAAATGGGCATAATGACATCTGTGACGTGAAGAATCAAGGAGATGAAGTATGGACAGCGTTTAGTCCAGAGCCCTGCGCCTAGTAAATGCTCACTCACTAGGTAGGTGGCCGTTATTGCGAGCCTGAGTATGATGGGCTCCATCCAGCACGAACACGAAAGCTCTGGGAGAGGAGGCAGAGCGAGATGCAGTCGAACTGTGGCATATGAAAGGCATTTTGAAGGAGTAGGCATCAGGCTGGGTTTTAAAGGAAAGGTAGGTTCTATGAAATACTAGGTTGGTGCAAAAGTCATCACAGTTTTTGCCATTAAAACCGCTATGATTTTTGCACCAACCTAATAGAACCAGGCGAGGCGGCTGGGGAGAGGCTATTCCAGGCAGAGGGAACCAAAGGAGCAAGAGCCTAGGGACGAAAAGGTGCTGGGTGGGTTATGGGACTAACAGGTTTTGTCATGGGAACCAATTGGGTCACAGTGCGGGGCAGCCATAGTTAAGGGGGGCCAGATGTGTCAGTAGCCAGCACCGTGGCTGTTGTCAGAATTCGGAGCAGGCCCTGGATGGTACTGGGTAGGGCCGCCGCTGGTCAGTATAGGGCCTTGGTGAGACTTAGAAAAATGGCACCCCTGGGCTGTGTTTTGGCCCCTGTCCACCAGCCCCAAACCCTCCTGCGCCCTTGAGCAGTGAACAACCTTTATAAACATAGGTCTAGAGCCATGAAGGCTTAGGAGGGAGGTGGAAATTGAGCTGTTTCCTCTGTTCTAACACAGTCGCTGGGGGGAAGCTAAGAGTTCTAGATTCAAACAGACCAGAGTTTGAATGTAGGTTTCATCATACTAACTGGATGAGCCTTAGTCTCCTTACCTGCAACATAGGGCTAATAACAATGGTAGCTCATGGGGATTTGGGGTGAATTCAGTGAGACATTAAGCTCTAAGTGGCACAGAGCCTACTCCAGTTAATGTTATTTTTGATAACTGTTACGTGCCAGCTGTCAGCATTCATCACTTCCAGAAACGGATCCACCAAACACTAAATTCTTCTGTGTCACCACCCGAGCATAGTCTGCATGGGGTCCAGAGATGGAATGGTCGAGGGAAATGGGGAAGGATCTGGGTTCTCTCAGTTCCACGAATCTGCAAACTACTTCACAGAAACAAACTCGTCCCCTTGCATTCACACCAGGGCAGGGATTCACATGTCTTCAGAGATTTCTGAGACCACCAGTGATGAGAGACCTAAGGAGGAGGGCAGGGGGAGCAGCGCTGCTCTGGAGCTCTGACCCAGGAAGTCCCCCAGACCCTGACCTTCCTTGGTTCCATGACCTCACCCTGCAGGAATGCGTTCTGCCGTGGAGGAGAGCAGCCATACGCAGAGCTCATCAACTGCTCGCTCTGCAGGGGGCCATAACCACATTGTCACTGTTTCTACACTGTCTGGAAGAAGAATGGTCATTGTTATCTCATTATGGACCACCAGTGGCTTGCTAGAAGAGGCCGAAGATGACAGGCAAAGACAGCTCTACCACCATCTTCCGCCACTTACCAGGCTGGGCCACCAAGCTGTTTTCTACTTCTCTGGGGTTGATTTTTGTCGTTTGCTTAACAGACACTATTCAGACCACTACCTTCCACACAGCACCCTGGAGCCTCCCTGTGACGGGGCTTCCTGGCTCGCCTGTCTGAGCAGGAAAGGGCTGAGCCCTGCGTAGGCAGGCATGCTGACGGGATGCACGTGGTGGGGGACATCTGCTGCATTTGGCTGTGTGACATCTCCCCCTGGCCTTCTGAATAGGTGAACCGCCCTTCCTCGATTCTTTCAGTGCTGATGGTCCTCACAGTCACAGTACCAGCCCCAGGCCACAGCAGGTGGACCAGGCCTGGCCAATCTGAGATGCCCATCATGGAGGTTGTTGAAAGAAAACTTAAGTTCAATGAGATGAAATTTAATTGAGCAAAGAAAAAAGAGAGAAAGAATTCACGAATGAGGCAGCCTCCAGAATCACAGCAGATTCAGAGAGACTCTAGGGGTCAGAACAAATTTATAGACAAAGTACAGTGGCCTGGCGCAGTAGCTCACTTCTATAATCCCAGCACTTTGGGAGGCCAAGGCAGGTAGATGGCTTGAGGTCAGGAGTTCAAGACCAGCCCGGCCAACGTGGTGAAACTCTGTCTCTACTAAAAATACAAAAATTAGCCGGGCATGGTGGCAGGCACCTACAATCCAAGATACTTAGGAGGCTGAGGCAGGAGAATCACTTGAACCTGGGAAGTAGAGGTTGTAGCGAGCTGAGATTGTGCCACTGCACTCCACCCTGGGCAACAAAGTGAGACTTGGTCTCCAAAAAACAAACAACAAAAAAACAAAACTAAAGTGACGTATAGGAGTCGGAAGTGAGGTACAGAAACAGTGAGATTGGTTGCAGCTCGGCGTTTGCCTTATTTGAACAGTTTGAACACTCAGCAGTCTGTGAGTGGTTGAAGCATGGCTGCTGGGATTGGCCAATACTCAGCTATTGTTACAGGTGCATACTACTAAGTTAAGTTTTCAATTTTGCGTGCCTGTTAAGCGGGGTTACTGTTCGTCCACAAGGACTCAAATATATAAGTACGGAGTCCTTCTCAGGCCATATTTCGTTTGCTTTAACAAGCAGACATGGTTGGTCTAGAGTGGACCTGTGACTTGAGCTGGACTAGAGTGCTCCTCTGGGTCTTTAGAGATGGGTGTTCTTTTTCAAAAAAGCAATTTTTCTCTTTCCTTTGGGGTCACTAAACTGCGATGAGGAAGCTGTGGCCTCTCCCTTCCCCTGTCCTACAGCAAGGTGTGTGACAAGTCGAGTTAAAGAGTGAAAGAGACAGAAACGGAGATGGAAAGAGAAATTCATGCTGCTATCTTCTGCATTTCCAGAGTCCCTGAAACCAGCTTTGCCCTGGCCTTCCAAGTTCCATGAAGTAATAACTATTTTGGCCAATGCTAGTTTCATTGGATTTCTGTCCCTCATAAACAAAAGGCCTTCTGAATGTTGTGGGATTCAGAGGCCTTTAGAAGGACACCACCAGTCAAAAATATTTCCCACTCTGTGCCCGAAGTTCATCCACTTGAATTGCTTTTTGGCTTTAGCTTTCAGCTGTCTGTGCGGCAACCTCCTGGCCAGGTGCCCTGCCATTAGTGGGCATCCCCTACAGGATGGGGTCTGAGCTTCTGCTGGTAGTCCCCAAGGCCCTCTGCAGCCCTGGCCTCTCTAGTGCATCAGTTTCCCCTTGCTGTCTAGCACCGTGTCCTCCAGTACCAAGGAACGCCCAGAGGCTTCACACTGCCCTTCGTTGGCTCAGGCCGTCTCCTCTCCTTCCGCACCAGATGGCCTCTGCAGCCTGTGCTGGTCATTCTCCATTTGCCCTTCTCTGTCTGGACTCCCCTCTAAGCCACACCTGCTAAGCATGTCCTCTCCCTCCTCTTGGATTTCACCAAAGTGCGGCAGGGTCAGGTGAGCAAGGAAGAGCCTTCCCACCTGGCCTGGCCTGGCCTGGCTGTGATGCACAGCTCCTGCTGCGTGGCCTGTCTCACCCGTGCTGTTAGTAATGGTTCCCCTCACTCACTCTTCACACTCAGAGGTGATCACAGATCCCCACAGCTCACTAGTCTTTAGGTGCTTCAGCACGTGTTTTTTTCTCTGAAGCTGCTCACACCTGTCTTTTTAATTATCCCTTGGAGGGTGCTACTGTTTCCCGCCAGGATCCCAACTGCTACAACCCCTTCTTAGAGAATCTGCCTTCAGCCCGGGCTACTCACTGTGAATCAAGCCAAACACACACACACACACACACACACACACA